ATTTATATTTATTTGTTATTATACAAATTAAGTTCTTCATAAAATACTATGTAATTACTTATATAAATTACTCAATATAGATATGAGCAAGGCCTCACCTTAAAATTAAAAAAAAAAAAGAATTAAAAATTATAAAAGATACATAATATAGTTTTTAAAATAAGTATTTAATAAAATCTCTTGAATTAATACTAGTAATAATAATTATTATTAACCAACTAGTTAAGTTATTAACTAAAAACTATTTAATATACAACACAATATCATTCTTTATTTTATCAATTCTATAAAAATTTAAAGATTTAAAATTTAATTTTATTATAATTTTACATATACTGTTTAACACTATATACAGTATCCAGGACTTATTCAAGAACTTTATTTTTTTAAATTAATTAATTATATCATTTGACAATAAGTAATAATATCTAAAATATAGCTACTAAATATATAAAATTAGTCTTTTAACAATCATTATTGCAAAAACAAAGGAATTCTCAATCTTATTTAATTATTTTATATTTTATTATTATTATATTACATGCCTAGTAATAATATTATCCTTCTGTCTATAACAATCTACATATAATACTTTTAAAATATTGTAATTAATAAATAAAAAATAATTAAATACTTTACAAAAACTTTGCAAAATTCTCTGATTTTGCTAAATATATTTATTATATAATAATTATATAATAATTATATAAATTTATATTAGAGATTTGCTTTTATTAAAAGATTTAATAAAACTTTAGCAGAGATGCTTTACAAGATTCAATATGCTATAAAAAGTATAATCTTAGTTTCTAGTTTAATAAAAGTATAGCTCAAATATTTGTTAGAAGTAATAGATTATCTTAATAATTATCTAACTCATCTTATTCAAGCTTTAGATTTATTAAAATAGAGTTTAGCTTTAGCAAAACCATCAAACTAGAACAAGTAACGTCTAGCCTATCTACTAAATGTAAGTATTCTGTTAAGAAATATAAATACATATCATAATATATATATATAAATTTTATAGGAATGCAAACAAAAATATCAATAGTCTGGAAGCATGTACCAAGGGAAGGGCGACCATGAGGCACTTAGAGCCTGGGCAGACCAACCCTTCTGGGTTGCCGGCTGGAAGTAAGGGAGGGACCGATAAAGAATCCAGGAAAGAAGAAGGTTCGAATGTGGGTACCGGGGTTGTTGTGAACCTTGCAAGGGCAAGAGTAAGTAACAGGGAACTAATTAGGAAGGTTGTGGCTTGAGACACAGACCGGGTTGCGGCAGCATCCAAAGATGGCTTGAGATACGAACCCGGTGACGGTAGCACAGCAGGTACTAGTTAAGGGAAATATTACCAAACACGCAGGTGAATACATGTGTGGGACATGTACCATTCTGTTAGGTTTACCACAAGAATAAAAGCTTTTTTTATATTTTAAAAGAGTAACTACATCTCTTAATTCTTTTTTTTAACTTCTTTAATTAGAGTAGTAAGAATATATATTAGTTCTTTAGTCAAATCTTTAATTAGTTTAATAAAATTAAATCTATAGAGAATATCTTTATTCTTGATAATATAGCTTAGCCTTTTAGTTAAAATTTAGCTTATAAATTTTCTAAAACTTTAAAAAATACTATTAGTTTAACTTTGCTTAATTTAAACTCCTAGTTTTTATTTTTTAAAATAGTATAAATTTGTATAACTTTTATTTATTTGACACTTTGCTTGCTAAGAGATACAAGTTTGTAAAATTATAATAATTAAATAAGCTCTTATATTTGGTTGTATAATGAATGAATATATTATACAAAATATGTTTAGTACTAACTTTCTTTTAACTTCTTTTAAGTTTTTAGCAATTTATTTAAATTTATACTTTGAAGTATTAGTTTATACTAGCTATTATTAATATTTTTAATTAGCTAATATATTTTTTTTTACTTGTTATTAATTTTTTTAGTTGTGGAGTTTTTTTAAAAAATTGAATCTTAAAATACTTTACTGTTTTAAATTGTACTTCTAATAGGCTAGTCACAAGCTTAAATTTTGTATTATTCTATATTGCATTCTGTTTAATTTAATTTTATTATATACTTTTTTCTAGCAGAGTATCTAATATTTTTTTTTGTTCTTAATAATTATTTCATTTTATTTTTAAATATATTTTTAAATTTTTTTTTTAATTTTTTGGCTTTTTTCTGAGATTTTTTCTTCAATTACTCTTTACTAGAGTACTGTTTAGATAGTTTAATTCTTAACTAGATGTATTTGAATTAGAGAAAACTTGTAGCTTGCAAGTAAATTTATATACTAAATTTGTCTATTCTAACTATCTAGTTATATGTTTTGTTTTTCTAGTTTGTTATAATAAACTTGTATTATAAGTTTATCTAATTTACTAAAAGTTTTATAAAAGCAATAATATCTTTTTAAATTTTTTAACTTTTGTATTTTCTTTATTATTTTATTTAGCAATATTTTTTCTGCTAATTTGACAATTGCTTTTTTAAAATATCCTATATCTGGTCTATATATGCTACAAAAATAGATTTTCAAAAATAGCCTATTTCATTTTTATTAGAGCAAATTAAAATTTTTTATAAAAAAGAACAAATCTAATTTATATAATTATATTTCTTATAATTTCATTTATTTAAAAAAAGTATTAAAAAATTTTATCTTTTAAATAAAGATAAGTTAAAACAATTTTGTTTTCAAATTTTAATTTCAGATTTTAAAGTCTAAAATAATTTTGTTCTTATAGTCTATATATTTTGAATTTACTTGTTTATATTATAATTTTATATCTATAAATAAACCTTTGAGTTTTTAGATATTTGAATACTTAAATATTATCAAGTATTTTTCTTTATCTGTTTTATTTTTCTTTTAATACAAGTTTAAGGTTTTAGATTTGCTATAAAATTTCTTTATTCTCTATTTTTTAAAATAAAGATAATATTATTGTCTGGAGCAAAGCAACAAACCTATATTTTTATACTCTTTGATAACCAAAATTATATTTTTGATAATTTATAATAAAAAATATTAATAATGTAGTTTTGGTATTTTTTAGATATAATTTTTTTTTTTTTTTTTTTTTTTTTTTAAGTGAGGTCTTTTCCTCAGTTCCTTTATTATTTATTATGCAAAGTTAGATTACAAATTTGTTTACATAAATTTTTAGAGGAAGTGAAGATTAAGCTAGTTTACTTCAGACCTAAACCTTAGCTAGGTAGGTCTAAAAACCTCTAGTCTATGAGTTGTAGCAAGCATGAGGAGAAGTGTATTGATGTATGTAATTTAGTAACCAATAGTTATAGATGTATTGACCAATTGAGTTTTGTTTGTAGCTAGTAATTGAAGTAGTAGTGGGTGTGGTGTGGGGAGGATTGATCATTGTTGGGTTATAAGATGATGTTAATATTCTGCTAGGTATCCAGATCTTCTCTCTTATTTTGGTAACTAGTTTGTTATAGAATTCTGGTGTTAGTTGTGTGGCTTGGCTAGATGATTGAAAGGGTGGGAGCATGGTAGTAGAGATAAATCCAATTGGTAGGTTGTCATTGAGGTAGGTATTATAGAATGCTTGAATAAAGAGATTTCGATTAGTAGTATTTGCTTTATGTTTGGATGCTATATAGTCAATGGTTAGGTTAATTATTGAAGTGATATTGGTAGAGTTGGTTGTGCAAGTAATTCAGTGGTTATCGTCTTCTGGTGTTTGTTGACAGCATTGACATATCAAATTCACGTAAGTGTGGGGGTATCTAGTATGTAGATTTACTCAGTTTGGTAGTTCTTTCATCATAAGCTTGCATTGAAGTTTTTTGTTTTAGATATCTTGGAACTGGTAGACCGGTGAAGAGTAGGGTATTTGGCACGCTCAAAAAAATTGGCATGATGCCATCTATCCAAATCTGTGCCATGGCATGCCAGTGGCATGCCACCTGTGTAATGTTGGGTGGCATGCCAAAAAATTGGCATGGTATGGCATGCCACCCATGTTACATGCATAATTATACATGTACGACATTTTAAATAATAACCTTTTCGACTGTTAATACCGCGTATTATTACATTTTTTATTCAAAATTGAGCTTTAATATACGTACGTACGTACTAATTCTTTTTAATTTATTGCAATTTTTTTTTTAAATAAACATAATAGGAACGATAATATTAATACAAGCTCAAGATTGAGATCCATATTTAATAAAGCCGACTTAAATCTGCTCTTGTACATGTATATTGGGAATATGATCGTGCAAAGTAGAGATTGTACCTGGGTAGACATTTCTATTATATGTCTATAATAAATAACTGGGTAATTTAATAGTACCTGGATACCAATCTCTAGTGCAAAGATTCTAATTCTAACGGCCATAATAAAAATAATAGTGGTGTGCCTCAAAAGTATAACTACGTACAAGACAATGATATTGGAAGCAACTAAAAAAAAGCAACGACCATATTATTAGGATGTAAGAGGAAAAAACTTTTGATTCGAATCTTTATTTAATTTACTGCTTATATATACTAATTACAATTTTATTAAGCTTCAGATTGAAAAAATATGTTATCAATTGACCAATCCTTAGTGCTACTAGACTTTTAAATATGAGTCATTGAATTTGAATCTTCGTCGATGATTTCTTGATCTTGTTTGAAAGTACTAACATCAAAGAACTCTTCCATTGCTAGCTCCTCATCGTCTATAGCAACACTTACCGCTTCAATATCAAATTCTAAAGGTTCCTCAAATGTTTCGTCTTCAAACAAAAGATCAATGTTAAGATTTTCAGTATTCGTTGCATCTATAAGATTTGTGGATGAAATTTGATTTTTAGTTTTTTTTTTTAGAGATTCGGGTAGCTTTTGTTGAAGATCATGGTGAAGCATCCAAGCATTTTTATTAAATCAGTAGATATTTTGTTTCGGGACTTTGGCTTTACTAATCCCAAGCTGGAAAATAGTCGTTCAACAGCTGCCGCGTGCGGAACAATCGAGAAGACCTTTATAGCAAATCATCGAAGCAGAGGAGAACCTCCAGAAAACTGTGCCCAGAAAGTTCTAGGATTGATATCCTTAATATTTTTGTAATCAAAAGGTGCATCACCATTTTGATAATTGACAAGCTCTTTAGACAAAAGAATAGCATCTTTTTTATCGAAGTCTCAAGCCTTAGCTAATTTTAAAGAAGCCCTAATGATTGAATTACCAGACATTTTTTTTGACATTGCGGTTTGCTTGTAGTATGGGGACAAAAAAAGAGCAACAAAATAAATACTATCAGAAAACTCGCGGGCTCGTTTGTTGATGGCTGCTAATGCATGATTCTTGAATCCATCAATTGGAACATTTGCTCTTGAGATAGTATAATGAATATTTATTAGTTCCTTAAAGATATCAGCTAATGTAGTTTGTTTTGATTCAAGATGATCAATGGCATCTACAACAGGAATAAGCATTGTCACCAATGTGTCATTATTAGCAAATAATGACAGTTATTAACAATATCTCGAATCTCTGTTTTGATATTAGGGTAATTATTTGTTCTACTAAGATTAACACATTGTTGAAATCCTTTTTCAAAGTTTTTCACACCCAAACAAACTTTTGCTAGGGAGTACCACCGTGTTTCACAAAATGTTGTAAGTGAATAGGATATACCCTCTTTTTTTTGCCAATCTTGCAGTGTTCGAAGCCATATATGAGAGGACGTGAAAAAATTAATGAGCTTTTGGTTATTTTTAATAACTGCAAGTAAAGGTTGATAAGCTGAAATATCTTTCGCAAGTAAGTTAAAGGAATGAAGACAACAGCGAATCGGAATAATATTTGGATATTCTTCACTGAGATCATTTCTCATTTTAACCATAACCGCAGGATTATCAGTCACACATGCAATAACAGATTTAATGAGAACTGAATTTAATTTAAGTATTGCTTCGAGTTTCTCTTTAAGGAAAACTGCGGTATGCCGATTTGCTGATAGGTCAATAATTTCTAAAACATGCTCCTGTTTTTCTTTTAGAGCCATGAAACCGTAGACAGAATTTCGAGACACATCCTGCTAACCATCTAAAGCAACAGTAATGTCAGTAAGAGACGACATGACTTTAAACTTCTTAGCCAAGTAAGTTGAAAATGAAATATTAAGAATTTTAGTGCTTAATGTTTCAGCAGAGGGTGGAGAATAATTTGGAGCAAGTTCTTTGAGAAACTCATGAAAGTAGGGATTTTTAACTATTCTAAAAGCAAGATTGTCATAAATAACAGCATCGAGTAGTTTTTTGTCAATTTTGGCTTGTTTGTCTTGCGAGATTGGCTTGACAATCCAATTTGTTAGGTTATCTTGGCATTTTAGTGTAGGCGAGGAGAGGCTATCGGCGGAGTCATTTGCACTATAAGAGTTTTGTTAGCTAAGTAGTTTTTTTAACATATTATCAAATATAATAGCATACTCGGATTGTTCTTGATCTGAACTAATTAAACTTTTTTTGCGAGATTTAGGTGTCGAGCTGGTAACTTTTATAATATAACTATTTTTCTCGGTTACAGGCCAGTTACCACATGTGAGAATATGGTTATGGAGCTTATCAGGTCTGCCACATAGTTCATATTTACAGTAAAAGCATTTGGCGGTATATCTATTTCCCACAACTTTTTCTGAGAAACGCCAAAATCTAGTCCAACGGTGGTCAAAAAATGACATGTTAGGAAGAACAAAACCAGGCGGTGGTTGAGATTGCATAGTATTATTACAAATGTGAGAGTTTTTTGGTTAGTTATTTGTAAAAGTAAGCGAACCAAATTTGCACAACAAATTTTCTTTTTTTTATGTTATATATAAAAATTTCAGTTCCAATTTCTAATTTATTTAATTTATTTTTATTGATATGAAAAGTATAGATGTAGATTATATTTGTATTAGAAGATGAGAATTCTAATTTTTTTCGTTATCTCTTTGTTCATAATATGAGCAATTTCCTGGAAACAATATGTAAAGTTTATTATAATGCTATTATTTAATAAAGGATTTTATTTCTATACTGAGTATTTTATTTTTTACGCCAATAATTTTTTTTTTTTTTTTTTTGATATTTCTATGCGATCAGGATTTTTGTTCCTTATTAGAAGGATATCTAAGTTCATAATAATTTCACACTTTCATACATTCTATTAATGTCTTTTTTTGATTAATTAATTCGCGTTGTTAGATTAAAAAGATAGTTAAAGAACAAAGAAATGGTATACTTGCAGCAACATGCTATGCACTAGTATCGCTTGCTACAAATATGAAGTGTGATTTTTTTATAGTGCAACCAGGGTTGCAGCTTATTACTGCAATAGAATGTAATATCTTTAATATTTATGGCTTATCTTGTAATAATTACAAGATAGATAAGCTGTAATTATTAATTTGCAGCAGGCAACTCTACTATGCGCTTTCCGGTCTGGAACTTGAAAAACAGAATATGGCTAATTCTGATATTTGAAACTTCTAGATTCTGATTTATATTAGTAATAATTTACTTCTAATGCACTGCTTATTTAAGAAATTAATTATTACGGTTGAAATTTTTCATTACGTATCAGGTTTTTAATGATAATAAGATCGAATTAAGGTTTAACCTGTTAAAGCAAGTTAGTGTTACTATATTTGCACCTTATACTTTCCTTTCGTAATAGAATCATGCCACTTTCACACAATTATAAATTTGTTATTGTTAATGGTTAGCTTGTACGTATTAAGCAATTGAAAAGCATTAGCCTATCATTATGTACTCATTGATCATTAACGTTAAGTGAAATATTTCAATAAAGAAATTCTAATATAGTCTAATATGCGGATGTTGTTTTTTATTATTATACAATATAAAAAAGTCATTGAAGCCTACATTTTGTAAAATTATTCGCTATGCTAATTTTATGTTAATAGCATATTGCTTTACATAAATTATATAGTATAAAAGAAATTGGCATATGTATAAATAATTTTATTAGGTGGCATGCCAAACTGCCTTGAGGCATGCCACTGGCATGCCACTATGGCATGCCATCATTGGCATGCCTGTGCCACTATGCCAGATACCCTAGTGAAGAGGTTTGTCATTATATTGCATAAATTTGAATATTAGGTTCTACAATATATTTCAGTATGTTTGAGTGAGGTTTTGAATTCAGTTCTATTGAAGCCAATTTGTTATATTTCATGCAGTATGTAGCTTCTTTATAGTTGTTTTTAGGTTGTCCGAGGTGATTTCATGATTGAGAGATAGAATATGGGTATTATTTGAGTGAAGAAGAGGGTCAAGTTCGATTTGGGTGGCCTTAGTTTGTGTGTCTATTCTCCTTTGAGAAAGAATGTAATTGATACTGATTCTAATTGATTTTGTGAGAATTGCTTTTCTTGTAAGTAAGAAGTATGCGTAGTTGTTTATTTTGTGAATGTCTTCGGTGAATGATATTGTTGTGTTTAGAAACTGGGGGATAGACTTAATAATATATCTTAAATTTGTGTTAAATGTAATATGGGTGTTGTTAGGAGCTATAGTTGTGAGTAAGAATAGGCTTGTTAGTGCGATTTTGTTAATGTTAGGCCATGTTTTGTTCTGAATAGTAAGGTTAATTAGATTGGAGGAGTTGTTGCTTGAATTGGGATTTAAGCAGATTATCACAGTTGGTATGCAGGTATTATTAATTTTTTGAGTTGTAATAGTTATTTTTGTTTGAATGTTGTTTACTGTAGGCAAGTTGAGTGATATTTCCAGAAGGTTTCAGTATGGCCGATGATAGACTGGGCTAGATCAAAAGAAATATGGTGAGTGTTAGGAATGTAACGATATGGTGTGCTATGTGATGTTTGTAGTGGTCGTGAGTTGTGAAAGAATGATATGTTTCCATGCCAGTATTTTTTGGAGTCGACCTGAATTTTAGTAGCATTGTTATTAGGAAGCCAGAAAGTGCAGTTCTTTGTTTTAGTAGTTGGGTCATGTAGTGCGCATCCTAGATAGCGGGTTAGGTAATTGTGATTATTGAGTTTTTAGTGTTGTATTTTAAGTAGGTTGTTACTATGTGACATTGTTTTCCCTATTGTGTAGTAGGAGGAGATGATCCAACATTTGGTGTATTGTTTGTTAAGGTGAGTTTTCCAAATATATGGGTTGGGTTGTGTTAGTTCTAAGGTAGCTGTGGCTGTAGCTTGCAGTAGTTCGTGAATCTGTATGAACTACTTGGGAGTTCTGCCTCGTGGGATTTTGCTAATGTTATGGTGAAAGTTTGTCTAGTCTAAGAGTTCTGAATTGTCATAGTTGGTGAACTGCTCGATATTACTTATTTTGTGATTATTGAGTTGTGCTTTAATATGTACTGGTTTATTTATTTGGATTAAGATGGTGTTAATTGAGTGACCAGGAGACTGGAGTGGTATGGGCCAGAGGTTTGCCATTTGGGAGAATTGTAGATTTAGAGAGTGGATATTATTAATAATATGGGCAGTAAAGGTTTTAGTTTCTTTTTTTGAAAATTGCGGGGTATGTGTTAGGATTGATAAGTTAGTGAATGCATCATTTTGTAGTTGCTGGATGTGAATTTTAAAAGTGGGTAAAGAGAAGGTTGAGTTTAGTAAGTTTTCAAGGATGGATGCGTGGTAGGCCTGCTGTAGTTGGTTGATATTAATTAGTGTATATAAATAGGGTAAGTGTAGGGTTGAGTTAGGTAGGGAGCGAGATAAAGTAGCTTTTGTTTTAGTAATCATGATGCATCGTTTGGTAAGATGTGATGCCTCAGTTATAGTTAGGTAGGTGTTAGATAGATAGTAGCGCAGATAAGCAAGTAGTACTGTATTTATGATATAGATTGTTTGTTTTTCAGTAATGCGGGAGTAGCATAGTTTGTTTAGTTCTTGGTTTAGTTCGCGTTTGATTGTACAGATAATAGGTTTGTTGCTGTTTTGGTGGCATAAGTATGTCTTCAAGAAGCGGAAAGTGTCTTTCGGTGGAAGATTGTGTATTGGTTGGTTTTGGAAAATTATTAAGAATAGGTTGGAGGTATTATTGTGTAGTAGTATAGATTTGTTTGGGTTAACCATAATTTGGGCAAAGGTATAGAAGGAAGAGGCAATAGATAGAATGGTTTCAAGTGAGGTTCTGCTATCAGCGATCCAGGTAGTATCATCTATGTAGGCAATAACTGCTGTTGATGTATATACTGGTGGTTGTGTTGGTGATAGTAGGGCTAACATGGTATAGCCTGGTGCTATGGAGGTTATTCGACGAATTAAGGGGTCATAATATATTCGCTACAAAATGGATGAGATAGTTTCACCCTGGTCAAGGCTATCCTCGACTGGGTATGGAGGTGTTTTTCCAAGGGAGGTGATGACTTGATTTTGTCGATATGCAAGAATATAAGTAAGCAAGTTGATAAATTGTTGAGGAATATGAATACGGTGGAGTGCCTTTTGGAGAAGAGGGATGTGAATAGTATCATATGCTTTTGACATGTCTTGGGAAAGTATCCATAGTTCTTTGTCTTGGATACGAGCATCTTCAAGGATATGTGTGATTTGTTGAATGGGTTGTAGAGTAGAGGTATGGGGGAGGGTGACATGGTTTGCTGGGTCTAGTATATTGTGTTTGGTTAGTATTTGGTTTAAATGGTTAGTCAGAATTTTTGTAAATATCTTTCTTGAATGTTCAATTAAGGTGATGGGTCTTGTTTTGCTTAGATCTACGGATAAGTATCCTTTCTTTGTAATAGGCCAAACCAGTCCATTGTGCTATAACTTGGGTATGCTTTGGAGGTTAAGACAGGCGTTGAATATGTGTGTGAATTGTTTGAGTGCATCTAGAGGGAGTTTTTTTAGCATCTCGTTGGATATAAGGGAGGGACCAGTTGCCTTTTTTTGAGGTGCATCAATAATTGTTGTTTGGACCTCATCAATGGTTATAGGACTTAATAGTGACTGAAAAATATTAGGTGGGATGTTTTTAAGTGGTTGATAGTCACTCTCCTATTCTGTCCATGATGGAAAATTGGGTGGGTTGGATTTGGTCCAGGTATGAAAGTGTTTTTTTGTTGCTTCTTTGATTTCGTTAGGGTTAGTTATAATATTGGTAGGAGTAGTAATATTGGTATATGATACAGGTGTATGTGTTTGTTTGAGTATACTGTTTATCATTAAGGTTGTATTGTTGGTGAAGTTATCGTATCGTCATAGGATATGTGATTGAATGGTTGCTTTTTTTTGGGTGTTGTTTTTCAGATTACGGGCTTGGTATAGTGTGTTTTGAATATTTTTTAGTTGTGTTAGTGTTTTATAGAACTGTTTTGTTTCTAGGCTCTGGGAGGTTAGTGTTATTATCAGGGTGCTGGTAAGTTTGTTAATTTGTTTTAATGTGTCATTTAGGTGGTTTACTACAGAACTTGGGGAAAGAGGAGTTGGTTGTTTAAGTGTGACAATAATATAATTAGCTTTTTTGAGCACATTGTGCAAAGTGGTGGTTTTGAAAGTGTGTGCAAAATAGCTTCTGGAACAAGTATAAGTTGTGGGTATGTGAGCTTTTGCGGCTTGCCCGATAATATTGTTCAAATTGTTTCAGGTTTTGTTGAGGATTGTTGTATCGATGATAGGTTGAAGGAAACAAGAAGATGCCTTTAGATGGGTTGCAATATAGTTAGCAAAATTGTCCCACTGTTCGTGTGTAGTTTGAGAGTAAAGATATCTTTTACAATATTGTTTTTTTGTTC